CCTGAACCCTAAAACGTACACCCGAAACCCTAAACCGAACCCTAAACCCTAAACCCTAAACCCCTAAACCCTAAACCCTAAACCCCAAACCCTAAACCCTAAACCCTAAACCAGGTGGCGCCTGTGGGGCATCAGAGCCCTGGTAGGTGGGGACCAAGTGCGTGCGTGCTGTCCGGCGATCCCTAGTTTAGGTCTGGGGGTTTTAGGGTCTAGAGTATGGGATTTAGGAGGTAACGGGCTTCGAGGGTTCGATTTCGGCATCTTTTGGGCGAAGGTTTCGGGTTCATTAAGATTTTCCAGCTTCTTGATTTGAGGAACTCCAACAAAAGGATCCAGATTCTGAGCATCCCACCCCATCCCGAAAGAATCCCAAAATCCCACACCCAGAAACGCTAGACCCTAAATCCCAAACCCTAAATCCCAGCCCAGCCCCCAAGACCCGCTTACAAGGCCCACGCCTTGCAGCGAAGCGCGAGGGCTCCCGAGGGATTTGGGGAGACTTAGAAACCCTAGCAGCTTAAGGGTTGGGTTTAGGGTTTAGGGTTTAGGGTTCAGGGTTTAGGTTCTAGGGTTTAGGGTTTTTGGGTTAAGCCTGTGTAAACAGGTTCTAGGGTGAGAGTCCGAGCAACCTAGTACGACCAACAGAAGACATAATGATGTAAAGCAATGTCTGGTCGAGGAGGCGAGACCCAAGCTTGATGTGCAGGACGAGTAAGGTCGTCCATTATTGTGCATGCTCTTTAGTTTGGGGTACAAAGGAGCGAGTCCACAAAACACATGTCTTTCCGAGTCATGTCGCCTGAGCCTTAAAAAGCTGATTTTGTCAAAGAAAGACATTAGAGGCACACCAGCTGTGTACCCAGACACCCAGGCCGTGCGGCTACTTAGGCAGGCACGTTTCCGTGGTCGAATCAGGCGGAGCTTCGTTGGCGACGGCCACTTGAACGACCCCGTGGACCCCTGCAAACGGCACGAAGGAAATTGTTCAACAAATAGGACGGCTCCATAATCTTTCAAAACAACGGAAACACATGTGGTCAATGAAGACATGGTGTATGCAAGGTGTGTCGCATGTACAGCAGAATTACACAAACGAAGCCCACAAGACTTCACCCACAGCCACTGGTGTGCGCCTGGACGCGTCCAGCACCCTCATTCCTTGCATTCGCAGATACGCTCATGCTAGGGCGACGCGGGCTCAGACAAAGTTGGGTCACTGGGAACATCACAGAAGATTCGCTCTGATAGCAAGCAGCTTACCTATAGTCTCCATTGTAGTTCCTTTTTGGGGATACCTTATAGAATCCTTAATATAGGAGTGGTTAAACCAAAAAAAGGAACTACAATGGAGACTACAGGTAATGTTCTAGCGCAGGATGTTGCAACATTGAGAGCTGAGAGGGCACACGACCTTGCGCGTGGGTGGCGTTGGTTTTCAACGCATCGTCAGTGACTTTGAACCGATGGCCAAGGCAAACATGGCGCTGGTTGCAGTCTGTTGCGCCGCATGTGTCAGGGAGCTTGAGATCCTGAGGAGTGACGTGAGGGGCATCCCTAAACCCTAAACCCGTATGGCCGGTGCTTCTCCAAATGCGAAGGAAGCCCGTTCCTTCTTCGAGAAGACATCACAGACTGAGAGGCCGAAGAAACTTTTCCCAGCCCAAAGCCTTTAAACAGCCGTAACGCCCAAGCAATAGGCTATAGGTTTTGGAGTTTTTCCACGGCACTGTAGGCCGAGATAAGCACATCCAGAGTTCAGAGCCCAAGGAACCAAAGCCCTAAACTACACCAGAAACCTTCAGGGTTTACGGTTTAGGGGTTTACGTTTTAGGGGTTTGGGTTTAGGGTTTAGGGGTTTAGGGTTTAGGGGTTTGGGTTCAGGGTGGCACGGGCTTCAGGTATTGGAACATCGACGCCGAAGCCGGCGAGGTGCTTCCGGCAGTGTGTTTGACAGCCGCTCGCGTTCGTGATTCCAACTCCTAAACCCTAGGCCCGAACAGACCATTGGCCCTAAACCCTGAACCACCCCAGCGGACCCTGATATAGGGGCCTATATAATTACCTATACTATTGTAGGGGTTCCTTTGTATAGTTCTATTATAAAGGACCCCAGAACCCTGTTTTAATTTTTAAGGCCGCTACATTAACTTTAAAAGTCTTGCTCCGAAAGTTTTGAACACCCCAAAACACGCACCCAACGACCGGAACCCTGTCGTTCCGGTTAGGCAGGAGCATTGGGGAAAGAAACTGTGCTAGGGGAGACCCAGTGAAGCTGTCCAGTGTGTAGGGTTCAGGAATTTGGACCCAAACCCTAAACCCCTAAACCCCTTAAACCCTAAACCCCTCAACCCCTAAACCCTAAACCCCTAAACGTTTTTGGGCTCCATAGTCCGTATGAAACAGCCAAAAAGACGGTTTTGCAAGGGTACCAAGTTCAGTATAGAACATAAAGGCCTGAATAACAACTGAGTTCTCCAATAATTGTCTAGTAGTAAACCGAAAGTTTAACAGTTTGTTGGTGGCTTACTGGGGAGGTAAGAATACCAATAATGTATCCCGGAGGGTGCTATAGCCTACCCAAAACCTTTTCTAAACTCCCTAACTTCTTCGCTATATCCCTTTGAGCCCTATAAATCTAAACGATGCACCTCAAAATAGACACTCCCCAAGCCCTCAACCCCACACCGACAGCCTAAGCTCTAAAACCCTAAACCCTGAACCTTGAACCCACAACCGGAGCCCACCACCCTGAAAACCCTAAACCCTAAAACCCTAAACCCTAAACCCTAAACCTGAAAACCCTAAATCCGAAGAACCACCGAGCCGAAGCTTGAGCCCTGACTCCTAAACCCTAATCCCTAAAGCCTAAAGCCTAAAACCTAAACCCCCAAGCCCGAAAGCCTAAACCCTAAACCCTAGAACCTAAACCCCTAAACCTCTGAACTCCAAAACCCTAGAACCTAAACCCCAGAACCTAAAACCCTAAACCCCTGAACCCTAAACCCTAAACCCCAAACCCGAAATCCGAACCCTAAACCCTGAACCTGAAATCCGAAACCTAACCCCCAAACCCCTAAAACCCCCAAAGCTTGAAGCCTGCGAGGTGTACAAAATCGAGCTCTTCAGATCCCCCTCCGACTTGCCCGGGCCTCAGCCACCAGGAGCCCGGAGGGCTTAGGGCTTGGGGTTTTGGGCTTGGGGTTTAGGGTTTATGCCAGAACAGATTTTATGGAGAAGTTGAAGGCGTGTTGCAATGTTTTGACTAGGAATTTAGAGGATCTTTTGTAGTAGGGCCCGGCTGAACGCTTGAACTGAAGAAGGTGCGTGACATCAGGGTAGGCTTTCTTAGTGAAAGTCTTCTTTGCACGAGCCGGGGTTTAGGGTTTGGCGTCTGGGGTTTAGGGTTTAGGGTTTAGTTTAGGGTTTAGGAGTTACAGGGTTTGGATTCTGTCGGGGGGTTTACGGCTTATGGGTTTAGGGTTTAGGGTGTAACTGTCTGACCCGACGGTCCCCTTGTTTCTTGCACCACTTTCCAACCCTAAACCCTAAACCCTGCATCCTAGACCCTAAGCCCTAAACCCCAAGCCTTAAACCCTGCCTTCAACCCTAAGCCCCAAGCCCTAAGCGCTAAGCCCTAAGCCCTAAGCCCTAAGCCGAAGCCCTAAGCCCTAAGCCCTAAGCGCTAAGCCCTAAGCCCTAAGCCGAAGCCCTAAGCCCTAAGCCCTAAGCCCTAAGCCCTAAGCCCGAAGCCCGGAGGAGGTGAACCATGGCTTGGCATTGCATCGCGGCATCATGGCCACCCCTCTCGGGCAGACCAAAATCAACAGCCGGGAGACTTGGTGGTTTAGGGTTTAGGGGTTTAGGGCTTAGGGGTTAGGGGTTTAGGGTTTAGGGTTTAGGGTCTAGGGTTTAGGGTTTAGGGGTTTAGGGTTTAGGGTTCTTCTGGTTGATTCTTGGAACTTTAAACCTTTTTTTGGGTTGCATATGAACTATAATAAAGGGACTAAGAGTTTAACTTTGTGGAGGGGTTCAGAAGTCAGCCAAGGAGAACCCCTTCACTCTTGTCATGCATTACAGGCACAGCTGGGAGTGAGAGGGGGGGGGCTTCGCCAACAGCATGTCGCTTAATATAGGGGCTTGGAATAATTGCCTATAGTGTTCTGGGGTTTACTGATTATATTTCTACTATGAAGGACCCCAAAACCCTATTCTAATTACTGAGGCCCCTGCATTAACTTCAAGCTGAGTGGTAAGCCTCTGGCCACAGGCTGATCTCGGTCTCGGTGCGGCGGAAGATCGCCAGCACCGTCCTCTTGGCATATCGGCTGCTGGCCGCGGCGGCCCTGATCTACGTGGGGACCCCCGCAAAGGGGCCCTTCTGCCGGCGAATTCTGGTTTAGGGTTCCGCGAAGCGGTTGCTCAGTCACGTTTGAGGGCAGGGTCGCCGGGAACTTCCAAACTGAACTCGTATTCGCAGGACCTTCTTCTTGGTCTACACTATCGACGTCACGGAGCTGATCTTGAATGCCGTGGCCCCAGCATTTTGGCCAAGCAACGAGCTAGAGGAAGCCACGCCAATTACAGATCGAAGCGCGCTCAGGCGGTGGCTTTGGCCATCATCCTCGACATCGACGATCTGCTCTTCGATGCCGCTCAGACTGCTTTCATACCTGTGGCGATCGTCTGGTAGGTCCGCAGTTCACACGAGTCCCGAGGCTTTGGCCACAACTCCAGGGCGGCACCTGGTGAACCAGATGGACCCCTTGCCCATGAAGTCCTGGCCCCGTGTCCGTGGTGCGGACGTGAAGTCCATGACGATGTTGGTGCTGATCCCTTTGGTCACGATGATCGTCTACATAAATATGCTGGTCCCAATGGTGGCGACCCTCGACAGTGCGAAGGATGCCATGTGCGGAGGGAATTTGCAGTTCGTGTGGACCACGGACCAGCGCAACGTGATCCTCCTCAGCCCCACGCAGGGAGACGGCTGGGAAGATGGGGGGTACGAGCTGCAGTCCAAAGCCGTCGATGAAGCCGAAATGCTGAGCCTCGGTGATGCGAGCTCCGGAACTGCTTGGGGCGTTTGGCTCGGCAGCGTGGATGTGCTGACGGAGACCTCGATTTTACCCTTGGAGCAGTCCGTGGATGTCTTCAACCCAAGGTGTGCCGACTTGGGGGACACGGAGCCTTTGAGGAACTACCTGCGTGAATTTCTGGGCGACGAGAGCCTGATGGGCTGTGGCGACGCTCGGCCCTACTGCGGGTTGATGGATGGGAGCCGCTTGGTCAATTTTCGGGATCCTCTTTGCTTTTGGTTCTTTGGGTATCCTGGTGTCCTCATATTTCAATGAGTGAGCTTATGTACAGGGTGCTAAATCCCAAACCCTCAGCCGGTCAAGCCCTAATTAAACCCCAAAGCCTCCAACCCCAGCCCTAGTCGCTCTTGGCGACAGTCCGCACTTGACTTGAGCCAATCGTCCTTGGCGAATGCTTTTGCTTGCCTGTGCAACAGCTGGTTGTTTCGGTTTCGGAAGGGCTAAAGCGCGAAAGACACCAGATCCTGCAAAGGCAACCCACCAAGCAAGATTGCCTTTCCTCCCTAACCCCTTAAACCCCAAAGCAGAGAGACCCAGGCAAGGGGAAAGGCTTTGCCGCACGGATGCTGTGTTCGGACACCTGCGGCTGCAACGATCCAGCCGGGGAGGTGGGGAGTTTCTTGAAACTAAGAGACAAAGCTTTCTTGGGGGTTCTCGAAACTTCCCAGAGAGATCCCAATACCCCTTAATGAAAGGAATATACCTTAATTTCGTATTATGATTTTAAGGGAACTTCCTTAATAAGGAGGTATTATTGGGCTCTGTGATTCAAGCTAACCCTAAACCCTAAACCCTACAGGCACGAGCTCCTCAGCCCCGAGCCCGGCGATGGAGGTGAACACATAGGGGGTTTAGGATTTAGGGTTTAGGGTGCCTTGCAAACTAGAGTTTGATCTCGTCTTATATGACTTATGGCGAGTCTACAGAGATGAAACAGGAATGATATTGCAAATCGAAGCTGTCTACGTTGAGTCTTCCAACGTTGTGCTTGGAAAACCTTGCCAGACGTTGAACACATACCGTCAAATATCAGCCTCAACCCTCCGAGCACGAACCCATGTGCAGCAATAGGGCATTCCAAACTTCCATCAAAATCCCTGTGGCAAGGGGATGCATGGAGAGGGACCTTCCTTATGGCATTATCCAGACTCGTGTACTGACCCTGCTAAAACTCTGTACGGCTAACCCACAAACGCATAACAAATGAGCTGCACTGACGCCCCATGAAAGCGTAATATGTTGCGGCATGACCACCCAAAATCCTGGATAACCCGTAACCCTTAAGTCCTAAACCCTAAAGCCTATTGTCCGAAACGACGAACCCTCAAATCCGACAGAGCCCTCATAACAGTCTTGAAACTTCGATATAGAACCCTCGCAGCATAGCCCAAGCGCAGCCGTCAAAGAACCTTACAGCCTAAAGACTCTTTTACGAACCTGGAAAACCTAGCCCCAACAATTCTGAGACACCATGAAACCTTTAACGGAACTGCTATTAAAGCCCAGAGCCGCACAGACAAACCTAACCCCCCAGTTACCTACTATACAGGGTACCAGGGCCCCTAAGGCCCTATATAGTAGGCACCTGGAGGGTTAGGGCAAGTTCTTAAGACAAAACCAAAACTTAGGGGCAGAGTACCTTAGCCCAAAAAAGGTTAACCTTTAGAGTTATAGTAGGGTTATATAAGCCCCAAAAGGTTAACGGTTACCTACGCAACCCCTAAGAAAAACGAAGCGCTCCCGGGCTCCTGCCAGGGTGTCGGGAGCCAATGGCGGCCCGGCACATCGCAGCCTGGGGCCACCCGGAGGTTACGCAGAAAGAAGGCAACGAGGGATTCTGTGCCTTAGTGTGTTTTTGAAAGCGGAGGGGGGGGGGGGGGTCCGAGGTTTACAGTAGGAGTCTTGGGCCAATGGGCCCTCAGGGTTTTAGAGTTTTGCTCTTGCATTCGCCGATGTAATGGTTTTAAGCTTCGGGTTCAAAGGCATGGAACAGAAAGAATATGACCCCAGAGATGCCCTATGAAACCCTTTAGACACCCTCTCAAACCCCCTTCTGCAGGTCAGAAACCCAACCCCCAAAACACCATCAACCCCTAGACAGAAAAACCACCAAAAACTTCCTAAACCCTAAACCCTAAACCCTAAAGCCTAAACCCTTAACCCTTAACCCTAAAGTCTAAACCCTAAACCCTAAACCCTTAAAGTCTAATAAAACCATTTCAGCACGTCTTTTTCTTTCTTTTTACATCGCCCCCAAGCTCCCGGCAGGGCCAGGGCGCAGTCCGCAGCCGGAAGGGCCTCTGGCACGAGCGACATCTCCCGAAGCCAGGCGCCTTAAGGTGTCCCTAAAGTGTGGGTTTAGGGCTTATAGGGTTTAGGGTTTAGGGTTTAGGGTTTAGGGTTTAGGATCAGTCCGACCATTGATCTTGATCTTGACAGGTATAACATATTCATATAGAACCAAGAGGATCCAGATATAGTGCTATTGTGGAATTAGGTCCCCAAAACCATAGTAACGATGGTCTTTCGGGACCTGATTCCATAATGGTAGTGTATATAGACCCTCTGGGGAAGCCAACATATATATATATATATATAGTTTATAGTATATAGTGAATAAAGTATATAGCATGATCATCTTCTCCCTTGCTTCGGCGAAAGTTGCTTGACTGGGTTATGAGTTTCGCCCCGTGGGCGAAGTTGACTGCGGCTGGCCGCTGGGTCCCCCACTGCAGGAAATCATGCTAATGAACAATTAAGGATGAATTCCTTTGCTACAGAGCTCTTGCCCACCCATTTGTTCATAAGGATTGTACGGTTCTCTCATGCACTTTTGGCTCATGTTGCAGGATTTCCGGCTTCCCAAAATTAAAACCCTAACCGCTAAACTCGAAACCATGGGTTTCAGAGGGACTGGCTTGGTCCTGCAGGGACCTCGGATTAACAGTAAAGGCCTTAGTAATTAGCATAGGGTTTTGGGGCCCATTAAACTATAAGTATACTGAGGAACCCCCAAGATAGTATAGGTTATAATTATTTCTTCAGGATTTGCAAGGGCTTGTGGTTTCGTGCTGTCGTTCTTTGGGGCTATAGGGCTTCTAGAGTTCAATCAGGAGCTCTCACTACTCTCGGGCTCAACATCGCCAAAGCCTTTCGCCCCAAACCGCAAACCCGGAGCCTTCAACCATAAGAGTTTAGGGTCCCGCTGGGGTTTATGGGAAACCTACAGCTGAGACAGCTTGGGGCGTGGACTACTCTGGTTCTTACTTTGGGGTATCAGATGCTCCGTGGTTTAATGAGCCAGGTCTGCATGGCATAGGGTTTAGGGTTTAGGGTTTAGGGTTTAGGGTTTAGGGCACAGACGTGCACTCGAAAGACTCGAGCACATCAACCCGCAACATAACAGTTCGAAGACTTCAGACAAAAATCGAAAGAGTCAGATTGCGTAAATCTCCATCCATCCTAAGCCACAGAGCCCTGAACCCTAAACCCGAAAATCTAAGCCCCAAGCCCTAAACCGAAAGCCTAAACCCCAAAGCCGAAACCCTAACGCCTAAACCCGACCTCTGCGCCTAATCACCTGCGTGTTGCATGCCACGTTTTTAGGCAAGGAGCAAATCGCCGGTGAGTGGACCCCCAAGGCCCCGAAGGTCATGGCCAGCCTGCAAAACTCTGCGATCTAAGATCGGAGGTTCAGGGTTTGAATGAAAACGGTATAGGGCGTAGGATATATTTAGGTGTTTTTGATTAGGGTTTAATAAGAGAAGGATCGATGCAGGGTTTAGAGGTTTTAGGATATCTCTAACTTATGTTTCAGAGTTTTGAGCCAGACATACATCAACAGCACGGAGCACATGCGTACGTGAATCCGGGTGCATGACTATGTCTATGCCATTATGTGCACATACGCGTCATGTTGTGCAATAGTATGTATGTAAGTATATATATATATATATGTATTATCACGTACATAATTATACACTCAAACATCTACAGTAGTGTGCAGACGTGCTCGTAGACATGTACATATATAGACTCGGCATGTTTTGTTCTGAAGGGAAGGGCAATCAAACACGATTTCACACAGAAAGCTTCATGGTAATGGTACGCCTAGGCCTAGGAGATATGACCTAACATGACGTCGCACATGCTTCGAACATCGGTTGATGGGTGCTTGCCAGCCATGAACCTAATTGGGAAATAGTCACAAACGGAATAAAGGCTATAGAAGGTAAGGAGCATAGCGGTATGATTACATTCTTACCTGTGCAAGCCGTACATAGGCTCTAGACTCTCGACAAATCACAAATTAATGTGGCTACGCCGGTGGGCGAAGGGTCCCTAAGGGCCTATATACTCCAAAAGCTGCTAGCCGCAACTCGACATTGCAAAGCCGACTAGCCCTATAACCCATGTTCCTCTAACTCGGGATAACTCAGTCCCTACCGTATAGGATAGAAGCGAACAGGAATTCATACCTGAAACCCCGAAACCCTAAACCCCTCAAGCCTCAACAAGTCTGCACCAGATGCTTTTGCCATGTTCAAGCTTCAAGCCCTCGACCCGAACATCCAAACCCACAGCCCCGGAAATCTTAAACCCTTATAGTGAAACCCTACAGGACCCAAAACCCTGAAAAGAGAGACCTCAAGTGCTGAACTCTGAGCCCTATATAGTGTCGCGGACATCCGATAGCTCGTAAGGCTTGCATGTCCGTGGAAGTAGTGATGTTCGCTCCTCTGGCCTCATACTGGAAATCTCAATCTCAGTCATCACACCCACATCCTTGAAGCATGACCACGACCGACCCTGATGCATGAACCTAAAAAATCAGCGTGCTCCCCCCGCACGCAGATTACGATGATAGTGCTGTGGATGAAGGCAAGATGAAACCGGTGATGTTGAATGGCGATCTCCGCGATGATTACGATGATTCATGGTGACGGTTATTACGATCATGGTCATGATGACGATGATGATGAAGCTATTGAATAGATATAGCTTCTACATGCTTTTATATCCCGACGGTTCAATAACAAACAGGTCCCTAAACCCTAAACCCAAAGCCCTAAACCCTAAAACCCCAAATCATAACCCCAAAACAGCCAATCCTAGAGTCCTGCAGCCTCGACACACCCCCAACACCTCGACCCTAAAACTGTGAAAACGAGGGGCTTAAAA